CTAATAAAGATTTATTTAATTTACATTCATTATCAAAATAATGACTAGTCACACAAATATAATCTTGTTTAGCTCTACCACTCCAAATATCGGCAGTTAGAGCCACACTAACATGACAAGTATGTATTTTATTTTTTAATTCTAATTTCATTTTTTTAAACAATTTTATTAAATCATTTCTAGTTGCAGTTTTAGAATAACTTTTAAATCCTGGAAAAAATGAATTTTGAACAAATCTTTCAAAATATTTATCTTCAGCCATATTAATAGGTTGATCAGTTGCAGCAATATATAAAGCTAACTGTTCCCTATATACATCAGAATTATAACGCCAAGTAGTACCCATATTAGTTATTTGAGTTTGATTGCTTTCTCTATTTCCATGTTGATTAATATGTTTATTAGCATGCCTTTTTAAAGTACTAGTACCATTACCTGAATCAGCTTTATAAACATTTCCACAATATTTGCATCTTGCTTTCTTGACTTGAACGCCATTTTCTGTCTCGTAAAACTTGTCGAAATGCGCCCAAACGTCTGATGTGTGTCTGTCTTCGCTTTCGACGGCAGTTGATGATCCCGCCTCAGCTTGAGATGAAGTTGGACGAGCACGACGATTACGAGGACGACTTCTAGAACCACCGGGAGCTGTTGGAATCGGGGGCATATTTTGAGGTGTATCGGATTCTGAGAATGGGAAAGCGGGACTATTTGAATCTCCTCCTGCATTTATGTTAGTAAAATCAGCGGGACTAGGACTAGGATAGTAGTTTCCTTCATCATTGTAATTGATGGGAGAGAAATATCTATCCATTGTAGTTGAAAAAAAAAATTGATGTAGAAGAAATAAAAATTAAAGAAAGAGAATTGGAATATGGAAATTGGAATTTGGAAAATTGGAAATATGAATTAAAAATTGCAAAAACTAATAAAAATTAAAATACGAGCAAATTGCAAAAACTAATAAATGAATAATTGAGAGATTAGAGATTAGAGAATATGAGAGAATGAGAGAATTTGAGTTGTGAGAAAAATGTGAGAGTTTAGGGCCAATTTATAGGAAAAAAATGGGAAAGAAAAATGACGAAAAAGACCCCTCCAATGGCTATATTTCAAGGATAAAGGGGTAATTTGTAAAATAAAATAAAATTTTTTTTTTTTGGCCAACCCGCCGAGTTGGCTGTTGCTACCCGGCGGGTTGTCGGGTCTCTTGCAAAAGAGACAAAATAGCAACCTGCCGGGTTGCGGGTTGCCATTGTGCAACCCGGCCTGCCTGGGGGTTGCTGCCGAGTTTAACCCGCATTTTTACGGGCCGGGTTAGGGTTGACCCGCCTAACCCGGCCCAAATTTTCCACCTCTAACAATGACCACACAAAAATTGATAAGAAATATGGAGCAAGTGGGTAGCCCTTGCAAATATATAAACAAATGATGATTTGGATGGTCGTCCATTGCATATGGACGGCCGTCCATTATATATGGCAGCCCATCCCTATTAAATGGATGGGCATCAATCATTTTATTTTTAAAATTTTCTGGCCCAGCCGTCCATTATATATGGCAGCCCGTCCCTATTAAATGAATAGGCGTCAATCATTTTATTTTTAAAATTTTCTGGCCTGTCCATAGTAAATGGACACCCGTCCATATAATATGGATGGGCGTCCATTTGTAATGAACGATCATCCATAAAGTATGGATAGTCATCTGTGATTGTTAGACGACCGTCCATTCAAGGGAGATGTGTTTTCTGTCCAATGTGTCTGCGTCTGACTGGATGTCATGTGGTTCGGTAAAAAATTTCGGTGCAAAAAATCGGTGTCTGTAGCATTATTCTTAATATAATCTACACCAATCAAGTGGGAGCCTCCACAATGTACACATGTCAACCACACGTGTCTTAATTCCATTTTAAAGTTTTTACATGTAAAGTTAATAGACCCCCCATTCTTTACTTATATTATGTTTCAGTATAGGTTTCAAAGACAGGTTCCATCCTGGGTACCCGCCATCGGTTCCCATCCAAGGTTCTGGTTCAATTTCAGTTTCGGTTTTGATTCTATCTGCTAGTTTTGGTTCTATCCGTTATCCATGCTCACGCACCCCTAGAAAAATCATATTTATTGTTGCAGTCCCCTTAACTCTTAAGTCAATTGATAGTAGATATTCATAGGGTATTTTTTTTGGTGATGATGACTGTGGCGTTGGTGGGTGCATTTGATTTGGTGGTAGTTTGCGAGGTGGTGGTAGTAGGTGCAACAAAAATTTTATAGTCTTTGTGCTCAATTTTTTTATATCATCAAACAGATTTCATTAGTGCACGCTGATTGTAGAGACAAAATTGTTATATCTAAATATATGACAAATAACATCAAAAACTCTTAAAAATGAGAAAAAAAATTCATGAATATCACTTATATTATTCAATAATTTAATCGTGGAACATTATTCGACATAAAATGCCTGACTTCTTGATCCAAACTTCCAAAGAAAGAGCCTAACTCAGCTTTTATTCCCATTTTATATGAATTTTCTTAAAAGTTTGTGCCCTGGAATTAACTGGATTCGGTGTCACATTTTTCAATTTCAATTAAAGTAATGAGTCATGTGCATTTCGGTATTAATGCTTCGGCATTCAACTTTGAGTTAACAACTTTTTCACACCCAAATAATTAACAATAATGCTAGGACACCGAAAATTTTATACCAAAAATATGTACCGATTTATGTGTAACACGCTTCTGATTTGTTTAATAATTTTTTTTCTAGTGAACGGTCATCCATCAAATTTGGACGACCGTTCACTCACATGGACGTCTGTCCATATTATATGGACAGGCGTCCCCACTTAAAGGACACTCGTCCATAAATAAAATATGAAAAAAAAAAAAAAAACTTTAGGGACAGCCGTCCATAAATTTTGGACGGCCGTCTCTTATGTTTGGGCGGACGTCCATTACCGTCCATACTTAAAACAAAAAAAAAAAAAAAAAAAATTCATCTTTTCGTCTTCATTCCCCAGCTCCTGGGTTCTCATGTTAGTCTTAGATTACTGCCAGTTTCATTAATTGGCATTCCAACATCACCATATAAATCTGGGTTTCTTGATTCTCTCTCTCTCTCTGTGCTGTATTGGCTTAGGTATTCTTGCCATCCTCGCCCATGAAAATGTATTTTAGTATGCATATTGTTCGTATGAATTATTATTATTCGGCTGGGCCACTTGGTGATCTGGAAATTTCTGAAAGGCACATTTAGTGGTGTCTAGAGAGCTATCTGATTCATGTCCTGTGGTATTTGTGAAGGCAAGAGAGATCTTCTTCATGTTTCCAGCAAATTAAAATGTATTATATTGTTGCTTATATGGTTGGCCAAGTCTCATTGTTTTCTTTTTTCTTCTGTTCAGGCTGCCTGTGAGGAATTGAGAAATAGCAGAATGTTTCTGAAGCTTCTAGAGGCTGTACTTAAGACTAGGAACCGCATGAATGTTGGGACAAACCGTGGTGATGCTCACGCCTTTAAGCTTGACACACTTCTCAAGCTTGTTGATGTCAAGGGTGCCGATGGAAAAACTACCCTACTGCATTTTGTTGTACAAGAAATTATAAGAACTGAAGGTGCTCATCTTTTGGATACTAGCCAAAATCCTGATGATGCCAAGTGCAAGAAGCTAGGCTTGCAAGTTGTATCTGGTTTAAGCTCAGAGCTCACCAGTGTGAAGAAATCTGCTGCCATGGATTCTGACGTGCTCAGCAGTGATGTGTCCAAGCTTTCTAGAGCAAAATTGGATATATCCCTCTCATGGCCTTTTCAATTTTCCTCCTGGGGTTCGTTCTATGCCTCTGGAAATACATATTCAGGGAGTGGATATATCCAATTTTGATGCAAGGATGCAAGCCATGACGAAACCCATATATACTGCAATTGTCCAACATGCCAAGAATGGAAAACCTATGCTTGTATTTGTCCCTTCAAGAAAATATGTGCAGTATCTGTAGTAACCAAAATAATGGACGGGCGTCCATTAGCAATGGATGCCCATCCAAACGTTTTTTTTTTTGTTTTAAGTTGGACGCCCATCGACGGTCGTCCCCAAAGTTTTTTTTTTTTTTTTAATTTTCATATTTTATTTATGGACGGGCGTCCTTTAAATGGGGATGCCCGTCCCTTGTATATGGACGCCCGTCCATATAATATGGACGGGCGTCCATATGAGTGAACGGCCGTCCAAATTTGATGGACGACCGTTCACTAGAAAAAAAATTGCTAAACAAATCAGAGGCGTGTTACACGTAGGCCGATACACATTTTCAATGTAAAATTTTCGGTGTCCCTAGCATTATTGAATAATTAAACGTCACTTTTTCGCTCACAAATTTTTACAATATAATTTTATTATCTAAATTTATATTTTGATAACAAATAAAAAATAAACTCAATCCAGACTATTAAGACTTTTAAAGAAGAGAGACAGATGAGTTTTTTGGTAGTAGAATATTAGATTTTAGTAGTTGAGATTGATCAAAATTTAATATAGGAAGATCAGTTGTATAAACTCTAATTGCTCGATTCCTGACGATTGATAAGGCCGATGAGAATAGGGTTTAAAAGGTTTTGGTGAGAGATGATTGGGGAAGAGAATAGTAGCACTTGAGATTGCAATGTTATAAAAATCAAATTTAAATTTAAATAATAAAATAATATTTTAAAAATTTCTAAGTAAAAAATTGTCCATAAGCGTGGTTGAGAAAAGTCCTTTTGCTCCTTTAACACAATCACAAAGATCAAACACATGATTGCCCATTTGTCCCTGGCTCCTTCTTTTCAGAAATAAAATCTATGGTTAGATATCATAAGATGATTGATTACAGCCGTCCATTCCATGCCCCACTTTCCACCATCTTTAATTTGACATTCACATTTTTTATGAACTGATAGCCATTTGATAGACCGCCGAGATACGCTGAATAAAACTTGAAAGCAACCCGACTGCCTTATATTGTTTATTGAGAGAAGTGCTTTTCTTGCATCTACCGTTACTGTAAGTAAACTTAGCTTGCATGGTGGAAAAATCTCAGATTCCAAACAAAAACTTATTAAACAAAACCCCACTTTTCTTTTTTACTATTCTCTTCTTTATCTATTCCCCTAGGGTTTATTTGCCTTTGCCATAACCAAAAACAAAACAAAACAGAGGAAATTCGTAAATGTCCCAGAAAAACAAAAATAGAACGTTGAATTAAAGTAAAGAAATACTTCAATCCTGATTTCTTGATTCCATTTTCTTCAGATCGAACTGGGTTTTTCTTTAATATTTTTTAAGGGGGGAGGGGGGGTTGGGTTTGGGGGAAAAAAACCCTAGGGTTTTAGTTGGCGATGTCTGCAGGGGTTTGTGGGAAACGGGTGGGGTTCGAAGAAATCTTCGGATCTTCGTCTCCCACGTCGGCCAAGAGATCCAGGTGTTCTAGTTACGGATCTCCCATCCGATCAGGATCCGAGGACCCGGTTTCGGCCTTGCTTCAAATGTTTCCTGACTTGGATCCTGAGGTTCGTTCTTAATGGTTAATTTTCTTTGTTATGCATTGTTTGTTAATTTGAAGTAATTATTAATATAATTCATTTTGACATGATAGTTTGGACTAAAATACATATAATTCGCGTAATTTTTATAATTTAGGGAGTCACATTATCGGTTGATTTTGTGTGGATTAAGCATTATACCAATTGTTCATTTCGTATCTTGCTTAACTTTTGTTGATATTAAATCTTGCCAGTTCTTGCTTTTTTCTTGAAATTGTTCATAAATAATGTAGCTAATTAATGAACTATAGTCCAGTTTGCTGAATTTTTTTCCGTGTTTTGTGGTTTAACATCTTTAATATTCTATTAGAAAAACAAAGGAGACAGAATTTGATGATCTAGACTTTGGCTTGTGAAAGGGGTGAATGTGAATTTAATTTTCTTTGCTTATTATGTTATACAGAGTGATGGTATAATGTCGCTTTGTTGGTCCGTTTGAACTTCGAGGGTTTGATGAATTTCCTTTTTTTTTTTTTTTTTCAATTTAGTTGGTAAAATCTGTTCTCAGGGATCATGACAATAAGATTGAAGATGCAATTGTGAGTTTACGTGCACTTTCTTTTGGTGACTTTAGTGAAAGAACTAAATCACAGGGACTTGATTCAACAACAATTGGGAATTGTGCTGCTGTTCCTGGTGAGAGTGGGGCTACAAGTAAGTTGCTTGTTAATACTCTTGTTTCCCTTGTTAGTGTTTTCATTTGAATGCCTGCTTTATCTTCCTTTGATTTATTTATTTTTGAATCTGCAAAATTAGGTAGTCAAATGTCAGAAGAGAATGTTGGAAATATAAATACGGGTTTTGTTGGTGAAAATATAATGGACGGTTCCAAGTGGGTGGATTTGTTTGTGCATGAGATGATGAATGCAACTGATCCTGATGATGCTAGCGGACGTGCTGCCAGGATTTTGGAGGCTTTTGAGAGAAGTATAACTGCCAATTCAAAGACATCGAAGGAGGTAATCAGGCATTTACTCTTTCTTGTAATCATTGTGTGAGGTAAAGAAAATTAGAGTTTTGTATTTTCCCGTGCTGATGATTCTGTTCTCGTATCTTTATGGATATAGCAGCATGAGCATGCATCTCTAAAGGAGCATCTGCAGAGCTTGTTGAATGACAACCAGATTCTAAAGAGAGCAGTTGCTATTCAGCACGAACGCCATTTAGAGCAGGAGGAGAAGGACAAGGAAGTGCAACATTTAAAGCTTGTGATAAGCCAGTACCAAGAACAAGTTCGGAATTTAGAGGTAACCTTTCTTACATTTAGAGTTCTAATACCTTCCTCACATGTTTAAGGTTATCAGAAGAGATGTCAAAATGGTATAACCTTGATAGTCTTTTTAGCTTGACCCCCAATGCTTCTGGCTAGGGAATTCACTGGAACCGTTATAGAATTTGTTATTCTTTGTCAAGACACATTCTTTGTTATGCCTTGAATCATGCAATAATCTCCTAGTTGGTAATGTATGTAGAGAGGTGGCCATGCATGTGGGCTGATGAATGTTCAATTTTTTTTGAAAATGTTCTATTGTGTGTGAGGAATTTGGTCAGAGGAATTCAGAACAGGACCAAATTGATCTATTTTACTGGTCAATTCTGATTGGCATCTAAGAACATGGCAGCAATTGTTGCTTTGGAAGCTCTGTCTTATTTTTTTTTTTTTTTTTTTTTTTTACTTCAGTTGAGATCAAACAATGTCATGGGGAAAATCAGAATCCTGAATTATAGAATATAGATACTTTAAACAGTAGTGTGAAGAATCGTCAATTAGAATGGCTTGAATTTGATAATGTATATTATATTAAAGATTGATAATTGCTCTTGGTTGATTTCAAGAAATGACTTTGTATCTTTTTGGTGCAGATGACTAACTACGCCTTAAAGGTCCATCTTCGGAGAGCACAAGAAAGTAGCTCTATTCCAGGGCAATATCACCCAGATATATTTTAAGGTTCTTATGTGAATCGTCTTCAAATTTAGTGATTCCAAATACGTGATTTACTCTCACTCTCCCTCTCTCTTACTTTCTTCTGCTTCTATTTTTTTTTTTTTTTTTTTTTTTTTTAAGTTTTACATCAGCAAGAGGTAAACGAGCAATATTAAGATTTCTACACAGTTGTACTAAAATGATCAGCTATGTGTATGATTCAAGCCAATTACACTTTGGCCGCAGTTTGTGTGAAAATTCCAGCTTCAAGTCACCATTAGTGTTTGTTGCATGCTCTTTTTAATAAAAATTAGAATTCAGAATGTCCCAGCCCCCCAATGTTTTACAATCTAACCATTGTAAATTTTAGCCCCGCATGAGTATTTTCAAATGATTATTTATATGGCCTAAATTTTTTATTATAAAAAGTTTATCTATAGAAACAAGAGTTTAAAAGACTCTTTATTTTTTAAATATAAATTAAAGAGTGAGATTGACTCTCTACAAATTTAACTCTATCCTAATTTTTAATAATAAATTGTAAGTTTTTATGTATTTTATTTATGATTTATTTTTCTTATTAAGGTTTTTTAAAAAAAATATATGTTCTTGCACCAAAAATTTAAAAAGTTTATTGGTTTATATTTAAAAATTAAACAAATTTTTTTTTATTTGTATAAAATATATTCTTTAAAATAAAGAATCCTATTAAAAATGCTATAAAGAGTACTATTAAAAATGCTATGCTGGATAATACTTTTACGGCATCAGTGGAGCAGCAATCGTTGTGATCAGAAAGTTACTTCTATGGCATAACCTTCTACAATGATTTCTTCTTCAGATCTGCGCCAAACAAAAGAAAAAAAAAAAAACTACTATAAACACAAGGGTGTATTTTAGGATCATTTTATAAAGCATTTTGATAACATGTACAGAATTATCGTAAAAATAACAAAATAAAATAAAATACAGAAGATACTTCATTAAGAAAAAAACTTAAACAATAAATTTGAAAATATAAATTTAGAAAAGTATTTCGACATGAAAACTAGATTTAAACTATCTTTGGATGGTCGAATAGTTTGATAGAGACTTTTGAGTATATTATTCAAGAGGTTATGAGTTTGAATCTCTCCCCTATTGTTAATAGAGATAAGTCACTAGAATTTTTTTCCAATCAATAATTATAGGGTCTTAGAAGATTAGTTAAGTTACGCGTAATTTAACCTAACATCTTAGTCATAAAAAAAAATAAAAATTGGAAAAGTATTATTATGGCGCTTTATATAAAAGGATAGATTGATGTAAATTATAATTTATAAACTAAGAAGAAAAATTATAGATAAAATTAACGTAGTCTTTATCCAACATAATCGCGTCATCAAGTGTGATAAATAATAATTTGTTCTGTCTCACGTGTCAATCGCTCCAGCAGAGACAAGTATAAGCTCATCTGGTATGTACCTGGACATGCCAATAATATTAAAAAATTTAAAACCCCCAAAGTAAATCAAAGGAGATCAGCTTTGTCGTCCCTACGAATTTTCAGGAAACAAGTAACACAACTAGTTATTACCGTTTTATCATTTCAGCCCATCTCTAATTCTCTATTATATAACATTAGCAGCAGCCTACGCTCGATCAACTGCTCGCTTGTCTCTCACTGCTCATCTTTGCCAAGGTAAGGTTAAAGCTTTCTCTAGTTACTAACTATTATGATAACATATTATGCAAAACGGTAATCTCTAGCGATTATTATTATTATTATTATTATTATTTTAAAATAAATTTTCCTTGTTTATCTCATCGACTATAAAAAAAAATTGGAATAAACTTCATATTTTTACTATCAGTGGGTTGGTTTATTTGAAAGTCATCGTCTGCAACATCATGTTTTTTTTTTTTTTTTTAAGGTGGACGCCATCTTAGTTTGATTTGCATGTGCTTTTTGGATTTTTTTTGACCCAAATGAAGCGGGTGCTAGTTATAACAATTGGTTTTGAATTTGGAAAGAACTTTACATACACTTAACAGGGAGTTTGAACTGGAGGCTTAAAGTTCAAATTTGTTATTTAATCCTTTTGATTATTATTGAATTTGGTTTACATTTCCAAGTGAATAAATCACTAATTAATGAAAGCTAGTTGTAGGAATTCCTCAGAATTGGGACATTGAAAGCAAAGTCTGAATCTGCCCAAAAAATTAGAACTTTAACTTGGATTTGTCTCACATGATGTACTTATATTCAATATGAATGTTGCATTGTTTGCAGTATTTCTTTTGTATTATTCTGTTTGTTAATTGAATTTCAGGTTTTGACCTCCTGGTTATCTGACTTTTTAGGTTTGAGCATAAAATGGGGAGTCTCAGGGAAGAGAAGCTTAGGTTTTGTATTGACAGAGGGGGAACATTCACTGATGTTTATGCCGAAATCCCGGGTCAGTCTGATGGTCGAGTTTTGAAGCTTTTGTCTGTTGACCCAGCAAACTATGATGATGCTCCAGTTGAGGGCATTCGGAGGATCCTTGAAGAATATATAGGGGAGAAGATTCCTCGAACAACCAAAATCCCCACAGATAAGATAGAGTGGATAAGAATGGGTACCACTGTGGCAACAAATGCACTTTTAGAGAGAAAGGGAGAAAGGATTGCTTTGTGTGTGACGCAAGGCTTTAAGGATCTGCTGCAGATTGGTAACCAGGCTCGCCCTAATATATTTGATCTTACAGTATCAAAACCATCAAATCTTTATGAAGAGGTTATAGAGGTTGATGAAAGAGTCGAGCTTGTTCTTGAAAAGGAGACAGATAATCAAGATTCTTCTGCATCATTAGTACAAGGAGTATCAGGGGATCTAGTAAAGGTTGTGAAACCACTCAATGAAAAAGCTTTGAAGCCTTTATTGAAAGGCTTATTGGAGAAAGGGATTAGCTGTTTGGCTGTTGTGTTAATGCATTCCTATACCTATCCACAACATGAAATGGCTGTGGAGAAATTAGCTGTGAGCTTGGGCTTCAGACATGTGTCCTTATCTTCAGCTTTGACTCCCATGGTTCGTGCTGTTCCTCGGGGTCTGACTGCCAGTGTGGATGCATACCTGACCCCAGTCATTAAAGATTATTTATCTGGTTTCATATCCAAATTTGACGAAGGACTGGGAAAGGTGAATGTTTTGTTTATGCAATCAGATGGAGGACTTGCACCAGAAAGTAGATTTTCAGGGCACAAAGCAGTATTGTCAGGTCCTGCTGGTGGAGTTGTTGGTTATTCACAGACACTCTTTCAACTTGAAACGGAGAAGCCCCTCATTGGGTTTGACATGGGTGGAACATCTACAGATGTGAGCCGATATGCTGGAAGTTATGAGCAAGTCCTAGAAACCCAGATTGCTGGTGCCATAATACAAGCACCTCAACTAGACATAAATACTGTTGCTGCCGGTGGTGGATCAAAGTTGAAGTTCCAATTTGGGGCTTTCCGTGTGGGACCAGAATCAGTCGGTGCACACCCAGGTCCTGTCTGTTACAGGAAAGGAGGGGAATTGGCAGTTACGGATGCAAACTTGATTCTGGGATTTGTTATTCCTAATTATTTTCCTTCCATCTTTGGCGCCAATGAAGATCAGCCTTTAGATATCAATACAACAAGAGAAAAATTTCAGGAGCTTGCAAGGGAAATAAATTCCTATAGGAAGTGCCAGGATCCATCTGTAAAAGATATGACGATGGAGGAGATTGCACTGGGTTTTGTCAGTGTTGCTAATGAGACAATGTGCCGTCCAATACGGCAGTTAACTGAAATGAAAGGCCATGAAACGAGGAACCATGCTCTTGGATGCTTTGGAGGTGCTGGACCACAACATGCTTGTGCAATTGCTAGGTCATTGGGTATGAAAGAAGTGCTCATTCACAGGTTCTGTGGGATCTTAAGTGCATATGGGATGGGATTGGCAGATGTTGTTGAAGAGTCACAGGAGCCATATTCCGCTGTTTATGGTACTGAATCTGTTCTGGAAGCCTCCCGTAGGGAAGACTTATTATTGAAGCAAGTAAAGCAGAAGCTACAAGAGCAAGGATTCAAAGAGGAAAATGTTAGAACAGAGACATATTTAAATTTGAGGTATGAAGGTACAGATACAGCCATCATGGTAAAGAAACTAATAACTGAAGCTGGTTTGCGGTGTGACTACGCTGTGGAATTTGTGAAATTATTCCAGCAGGAGTATGGATTTAAACTACAGAATAGGAATATCCTTATTTGTGATGTCAGAGTTCGAGGTATAGGAGTTACAAATATATTGAAGCCACAGGCCCTAAAAGCTGCTTCTGGTACCCCTAAAGTTGAAGGCCTCTACAAAGTTTACTTTGGAAATGGATGGCACGATACTCCTCTATACAAGCTTGAGAATCTAGGGTATGGGCATTCCTTTCCAGGCCCTGCCATTATCATGAATGGCAATAGTACTGTGATTGTAGAACCCAACTGCCAAGCTATTATTACTAAATATGGCAACATCAAAATTGAAATCGAGTCTGCTTCAAGCCCAGTGAAAGTGGCAGAAGAGGTTGCAGATGTTGTGCAGCTTTCAATCTTCAATCACAGATTTATGGGTATAGCTGAGCAGATGGGACGAACGCTTCAAAGAACTTCCATATCAACAAATATCAAGGAACGATTGGATTTCTCTTGTGCTCTGTTTGGCCCTGATGGTGGACTAGTTGCCAATGCCCCTCATGTCCCTGTACACCTGGGAGCTATGTCCAGTACAGTATGTTGGCAGCTAAAGTATTGGGGTGATAATTTGAATGAAGGTGATGTTTTGGTCACAAATCATCCATGTGCTGGAGGTAGCCACCTTCCTGATATAACTGTTATTACACCTGTTTTTGATCACGGTGAACTAGTATTTTTTGTGGCAAGTAGAGGGCACCATGCAGAGATTGGGGGTATTACTCCTGGAAGTATGCCCCCTTTTTCAAAGTCCATATGGGAAGAAGGAGCGGCTATAAAAGCATTTAAGCTTGTGGAGAAGGGAGTTTTTCAGGAAGAAGGAATTACCCAGCTTCTCCAATTTCCTTGTAATGACGAGGCTCATAAAATTCCAGGGACACGCCGGCTTCAAGATAATTTATCAGATCTTCGAGCGCAAGTAGCTGCTAACCAGAGAGGAATTTCCCTTATTAAAGAGCTTATTGAGCAATATGGTTTGAAGACTGTTCAGGCTTACATGACGTATGTGCAGCTTAATGCCGAAGAAGCTGTGAGAGAGATGCTGAAATCAGTTGCCACCAAAGTATCATCTCAGTCTGCTCAGCTTGAAGGGAGAAATTCTATAACCATAGAAGAAGAGGACTACATGGATGATGGGTCTATCATTCATTTGAAACTGACAATTGACTCTGATAAAGGGGAAGCATTTTTTGATTTTAGTGGGACCAGCTCAGAAGTTTATGGGAATTGGAATGCGCCAGAAGCAGTAACGGCTGCTGCAGTCATATACTGCCTACGATGTTTAGTGGATGTTGATATTCCTCTCAATCAGGGTTGTCTGGCTCCAGTCAAAATCCACATCCCTTCGGGCTCATTTCTTTCTCCAAGTGATAAGGCTGCAGTCGTTGGAGGTAACGTTCTTACATCTCAGAGAATAACTGATGTCGTAATCACTGCGTTTCAGGCTTGTGCTTGTTCCCAGGGTTGTATGAATAATCTCACTTTTGGAGATAATACTTTTGGTTATTATGAAACAATCGGAGGTGGAAGTGGCGCCGGTCCTTTATGGGATGGGACAAGTGGAGTTCAATGCCATATGACCAACACTCGAATGACTGATCCTGAGATATTCGAACAAAGATATCCGGTTCTTTTGCATAAATTTGAACTGAGAGAAAACAGTGGGGGTGCTGGACTTCATAGAGGAGGCAACGGGCTCGTGAGGGAGATAGAGTTCAGGCGCCCAGTAGTGGTGAGCATTCTTTCAGAGAGGCGTGTTCATGCACCAAGAGGTTTGAAAGGAGGAAAAGATGGAGCTCGTGGGGCTAATTATCTTATTACAAAAGACAAACGGAGAGTCTACCTTGGAGGTAAAAACACAGTTGAGGTAAATGCCGGAGAAATTCTTCAAATTTTAACTCCTGGTGGTGGCGGATGGGGTTCCCCTCTTTGATTCATTTAAATAGCATATTGCATGGTGGGTCTGATGGTTGTTTGAATTTGCGTTTGTATTGAGCAGATTTCTAAGTATAAAATGTACAAGAAAGACGATGTCATCTAATTCAATAAAGAAGTTACTCATGCTTGGTAATGGACTCTCCCCAGAGTTGAGAATCCTTAGCAGTGACGATATATGGCTATTCAAAATCTGAACTCTTAAGAGAATCAGTCCATCAAATTCAATTGACCAATCCCCAACTGAACCCCGATGATTCAACATATGTTATTGAATTCAACTTTGTGATGTATATAACGCCAATTACCCATTAAAACGTTTAATGAAGACGTTTTCACATTAATTATAACATTCAAGTATGATCTTTATAAATTAATATGAAAACTTCTTTATATAAATATTAAGTATCTGTATAAGTTATCAGCAGATTTTATTTGAATCTCAACTTTAAATTTTCTTATGGCGTCCTTTAATGAACAGTGAGCTGTTATCCATATTTTCCAAAAAAAAATTCTCTTTAAATAACCGAAAATGCAATACTCAAATTAAATGACACGTGTGTTTTAAAATAAGATCTACGTGTTACGTGAAGATGATGACGTGATTTTTCCCCGTTCCCGCTCATGTGATTACATCTATAAAAGCCCTAGAATTTCGTGTTTCCTTCTTCAGTTCTCAGTTCAAAAAAAAAAAAAAAAAAGAAGCAAGAAAATTGAACTGATGAGCGCTTCTATACTAAACAAAATCTTATCACCACCTACAGCTTCTAACCTGCCTCCACGAGCTCGCAACACAGCAACACTGACGACTATGATGACTCTTCATCTATTTTCAAAGAACAGTTAAGTGTTTTCTCTGCTTCATGGCCACAAAATCCTCTTCATTATTTGCTTTCTTTTTCACTGATTTGTTCTTCTTTTGGTTTTTTCAAAAGGTATGCTTGTTTGATTGGTGGTTGATTAAAGCGAGAAGGACTTTCAGGGCAACAGAGTTGCTGTTGCTGGATTCACATCCAGAGGTATAGTTTCTCACTCTGTTTTTTTATTCCTTTTTGCCCCTGCCGTGTCATTTCTGTGTTATTTTGGTAAAGTTCTTTTATTATTTTGTACGACTTAGGTATTTCAAAACAAAAAAGAAAATAATCATTCTTGCTGGAGTAATTGAAATAGTTGTTTTATGCGAGTAATTAAATTTTCTCATATCACAATTACGTTATAATTTTATATTTTCATATTCTCCGCTCCTATTTAATTTTATTTGCATTTCTTACATAGGCTGCAAGCAATGCGTGTATTTACTTCTGCACCAATTGTTAAGAGATTCGATGTTTTCACTCTTGAGACAGCTGATGGAATCTGCATTGTCCTTAAAGGTTTCATAAACAAATCGCGCACAATTGAAAATGGATTTTCCTCTGAGGTAAATGATTTTTTTTTTTCTGTGCATGAGTTATTAGTCAAAATGAAGCTTACAAACCAGCTAATATTATGGTCTATTTAGTAAATTTTTTTAAATAGGTTAATGAGTTGATGTAGCATACCTCTTGTTTGTGTACTCATTGATTAGAAGCATGTGGACCAATAAATACTTATATAGTTGCACATGGTGTTTATTGTGGAAAGATCAGCATCATATGCTAATGAACAATTCCATTTTCTGAAATTCATAAAATTGAAGCTCACGTTTTACTTGTATATCTGAACAGGTTTTTAGCCATTTCGTGTTTGGCTTTCCTACTAATTGGGAAAAGTTATTGGGAAAAGAGTTTACGGCTGGAACTGGTTCAGCAACATGCTCTGATGTTAACAAATCAGCAACAGTTTTGGAATGTATGCGTATATTTTATGAAGTGCAATTTTATTCAAACCATGTTTGGGTTCTCGAATGTGGATTTTTCTTTTCCATGCCTCATAATTCTTGAAATTCAGTTATTTACGCTACATTTTTCTGATTTTACCCTCCTCTTCGTGTGTTGCAAAGTTGCAGCTGTTGCAGGTTTGGCAAATTCTGGGTTGAACACAACCCCAAGTAAATACAAGGAAAATGACAAAAAAAAGCATAATCTTGAAAATATACATGATTGTTCTGAAAATGTGTCTGGGAGGATTACTACCAATGGCTCAAAAGGTCTTTACTCAACCAACCTTACCACTGAGCATAATAACATGGATAATGCAAAGAATTATACCTCAGATAACCTTCCACCGTTGGTTTTTTGTTTTGTAAACACTGTTAGTTCACTTGAGTATGATTTAGCAGTGCCAGGAGCACCTTCAAGCCATCATGTGACAGAATCTTCTGAGAGGGTGGCGAATTCAGAAAGCAATAGGAAATGTAACAAAGGAACAGTTAGGGATTCAAGGACTGAAGAGCCGTCACATTTAGAATCTATTACCGTTATGAATTATGCACTGGGAAAATCTCCAGTACCTAACGATTCTGACAATCTTAATTTGTCCCACTTGGACCCAGCTCTGTCCAGAGGAAATTCAGGTGTGGAGTGGATGACGATCTCTAGTAACCCAAAGACTTCAGAAATGCAGAAAGAAAGAGATAAAAATAAGGATGGGTTGAATTATGGAAAAAAAGATGGCTTTACAGCTTGCTTGCCCCAAGACACTGAGGCTATTTTTAGATGTGCTGGTGAAAAATCAAGTGGAGTTGAATGTTTAAATTTTGCGAGTTCTGGTCTTGAAGCTATGCATAAAGACTTTTTGTCTACATCTCCTATTGATGGGCACCCAAATGTTCCAGAAGTTTTGGGTAATTATATTAATGATACCACAAATTTTCCTGTTGTGCATTCAGCTATGAATGTGAATAGCACTCCATTGCGGGTGGATACAAATGCTATAAAATTAACTCCAAGTAATTCTGGAGGTGGAAAGGGTATAAGTAGTTTGAGAAATCTGAAAAGCAATCAGAAAGAGCACTCTGGGGTTAATTGTTCTGATAAGCATAAAAGCAAAGAGTTGATGTCTGAGTACTCTGAACTTTCAGAAGGAGAAAATTTGAAGAGGTGTTCATCACAGGGAACCAATCACTCTGGAAGGAAAACAGATACACTTGAGGCAATTCGAAGCCAATCTTTAAGCAGAATGATTAGAAATTTGCTTGAAAATTCAAAAGGCAAAGTGAAGGAAAGAAAAACAGTTGTCAATGGGTTGAAAGCTAGAAGAAATGAGATGAATTCAGTCTCAGTGATCTCAGACCGGAAGAGCAACACTGTTCAAAATGATATTTCAGAACGCATGAATGTATTCAATCTGACTGATGATGGGCATGAAGAACCAACTTATGATACTTTGGTAAAAGATAACTCAAAGAAAAGACAAGACCGTAGAAAAATATCCCAAAATGGGACACCAAGGAAGAACTTGAATAACTTCACCCAGCGCCCCAGTGGGCCAGGTGAGGGAAATTGTCAAAATGACTTACAAACTGCAGTTGGTGAGAAAGAAAGAAGGGCTAAACAACTTGGCTCATCTGGGAAGAAAGCCACCCAGCGCCCCAGTGGGTCAGGTGAGGGAAATTGTCAAAGTGACTTACAAACTGCAGTTGGTGAGAAAGAAAGAAGTGCTAAACAACTTGGCTCATTTGGGAAGAAAGCTCAGAGGAAAATTAATTTTGATGCACATGTAAGTTATTGATCAAGGGTCAGAAACACATACTACTGTCAATTCCCTTTTAATATTTACCATGAGCATTTAAACGAATGACATGCCCTTTTTTTCTCTTTTTTCAATTGAAAAAGGCCAGCATGGTAATTGACTGTGAGCTTTGGAAATAATAATTGTTTGTTTTAAAGATTTGGCCTGATGCTATTTCTTTCAGTGAAGGGCTGTATATTGACTTATGATTAATTTCATTCGAAATACTGTTATTGTTAATATTCACTTTACAATGTTGTCAAGGGCAAATAGTGGACACCAGGGCAGTGTTAGCATGTGAATTCTAATAACATTAATCAAAAGTAACAAAGAATGTGCCATTATCTAACCATATTGAAAACTTTTGGTGTATATATTTTCATTTGGATTTGATTTGCTCTGGTATATGACTAAATTGATCATCATCTGTATGTCACTAGACTCATTTGATGGTTCATGTCATCTATTTTTTATATTCCTGGGATCATATTAGTGTATCTTGTGTATATTACATGTTTGTTGACTCTCATTTTTTTCCTTTTCCCCTTTTAATTGAAAAATATTCTATCTATATAGGCAAGTCCTCTTACTCAGGAAAGAAAAGAGAAAATATCTATTATTTCACCAGAATCTTTGAGTCTCAAACGATCCAGATCAGGTACGTTTTCTTTTTTAACTTCTGGTTAATTCTTGGTTTTTTTTCAGTGTTCTACTCTTTATTCAGCTAACAGCTGATACATCCAATATGTTACGAAAATGTATTGGCAAGAACAAAAATCTTAAAGAGTAAACTATGGGACATTTTCCATAGGTGTCTAAGTTTACTAATCTGAATACTTTCTTCGATATTACATCTCTTATTATTGTTTTTGACGCAAAACTTCTTTACTTATTCTTTTATTAGAATGCTGATTTTTCCCAATATTTAGAGGAAAACAATAATGTGGGGATCTTTTTTTTGGGATATCTGATCAATCCCATTTTTTAATTGTTAACTGTTTTGCAAATTTGCAGGAAGACTACTTCTACCTTCCCTACATTTTTGGCGCAATCAAGTTGCAGTTTATGATGCGGTTTGTGATTTTTTCTGGCATTTTAATGTTGCCAGTCTTAAACTTTAATTGCTGTATGGTTCTGATATTCTTACCTTCCTAGAAAGATTTTCATCTTTAAAAATTTCAACATTTTAAGGAGACTTCAAAAGTAATGCATTTACAGGGATGGTGTATTCTTCAGTTTCCAACATTCTTTAACTTGTTAAAAGACTTGTGAAGAGTTATGGCTTCAGTTTGTGGAAGAAAAAATCATGACTATGCTTTTTAAAATCGAGTGATCATGAGACTGATATAAACGAAAATGAGAAAATCTATGTAGAAGTATTGTACAGATGCATTTCCATCATCGCAAAACAACATTCACCAGAAATATACTCGCACATTCATGCATCTAAAATCATACTCTCATGTGTAGTGTCTAGTAAACTTGGATGGAGGTTGTTGACATTCTTGCCTTCAGAACACTCTTGATTACAAAATGAAGCCCTTAACCTTCTACATTGGATGATGCAACTCTCTAATGAGTCTTGTCTTTCTTAATGTCGGTGTGTACTTGCAACTCAATTCCTTACTCCTGTCTTTACTTAACAGCTTTGTGAAGACTAGGAAACTAACATTACATAGGCACAGTTATCTCATAAAAATTAAAATTTACTTCTAATTATGTTCGTATGCATATCCCTTATATAGTTATCCATTTAGATGTGAGCATTTGACTTGCTTAATGCATTCTGATCTAATTTGTTTTCCTGACTACGTTGGTAATCCCTCATTATATTATTCTGTTTTGTTTTGTGAGAATATGAATATATGAAAATTTTCTGTTTTCAGGATCGTAAAATCACTGGAATTCAAGAAGCTGTAGATGATGTCAAACCATACAAAGGTTTGTCTTACTCTACCCTTTTTAATTGCTTCAGTTAGATACTTAGATAGTTATCTTGAATCATATAATGCAATTGTTAACGGTATGGTGAGTGCTATCTACACCTATTGGTTGCATCTCGAGATTGAATCCCCTCACACTAGGGTGGGTAGAAATTTAGTTTAAATTTGTAATTTTTCTTTTTAAAAAGAAAGTTATTTGAGTGGCTCATTGTCTCTAGGGAGTAAATCTGAGCCTCGGGTCAAACGGAGGCACTGAACAAACGGAGTCTCAATGGGAGCTTTCACCAAACTTTTAAAACTACAGAAAGCTGAATATAGGGCTTACTTTAGATTGGCAACGACAACATAAACAAACACTGCTTTGATGTATAGTACTTGGAAATTTGGATTTTTGTTTGAAGTTGTAATTATTAAAGCAGATTAGGAAATACAGTTGTTAGTTTAATCTTTCACTTAGTTTACTCTTAGAGTGCTTTCGATTTAGAGAATGTTGTATTACTGAGAATGTTATATTAATAAAAAAAAATATTATATTAATGGAAAGATATATTACCTAGAAAATTATTGAAAATGTGTAGAGAAATGCGTTTGGTTAAGTTGAAATAAATTGGTGAATATGTTATATAGATTAGTAAATTGCTCTTTTCTTAAATATTAATATAATATTATTTTTTTAATCATTTCTTTTAACTCTAACATTTGAGATTTTGCTAAAACACCTAAGTCATATAAAAGTTTAATTTTTAATAAAATCATCCCCACCTACCCCAAGCCATTGTCGGCGGCCATCGACAGTTGTCGTAACGGCACACGATCGACTGGATCTAGCTGACTGTACGCCGATATAATTGTTTCTGGCTAGATCAATGGTCATTAATGGCCAAATCTGTGGTTGTGCACCATGGATCTGGTTGTACAGTTAGATTTAGTCGATCGTGTGCCATTCCGGCGACCTCCGACTGTAGTCGTTGATGGTTGGTCAATGATCGACGGTGGTGGTTGGCGAGCAACGATGGTCTTAGGTGGCCTATAATTTGTTTTAAATTACAAGGGTAATATTGTCCAAAAACTTAATTAATTCGGGGTAAAATTGTAATGATAGGTTCATGTAAATTAATTTCAAAACAAGAGCATTATTATCTAAAAATTTTAATAGTTGAGGGTAAAATTGTAACAAAATTAAGATTATCAAATAATCTTAAAATACCTAAGAAAATGAAGATAATCAGATTAATACCTATATAACCAATCGTAATTATTATTAGTTTTCAAAGATTATCGAAATTTTATATTATTTGATAACTAAACATAGTGATCTAAGAGTATGTTTGGTTGAATTTATGAAAATTGGCTTAGAAGTGGTTGATGTTTATGAGGTAATTTGAGTTTATAAGCATTTGAAATTTAAACAGTTATATGTTTGATTAAAATTATAAGTATTTGATAAATATTTGGTTAAAATTATAAATATCTGATAAATAATTAACGTGTTTGATAAAATGTAACTAATAAATATATTTTATTATTAAAAATTTAAAATGACTAAAAAAGATACTATATTATTTTATCAAATAACAAATTATATTAACTCAATTTTTTATTATAGTATTATCAAAATATATTTCAATCATATTACAATATAATTTAATTTTAAAATTAAATAAACAAATACTTTATAGACAAATATTTTATTAAAAATTAATATGAATAATTTTTAGATTATTTATATAAAATAAACTAATGAACAAATATAGTGAATTATAATTATATTAAAAAAAAAAATTTCAATCAAAATAACCAATTTATATCTGAATTGAATAATATTAAATAAGGGTAAGGTAGTAATATATTTGATCAAAATAACTTATAAACAAAGTGCACTTTTAAAAAAAAAAAAAAAAAAAAAAAAAAAAAGATTCCTAGACTTACCTTTTTTTACTTATAAGCTCAACTTAAACCCAAAAAAGTTATGATCAAATGTATCAACTTGATTTTAGAATTTATAAGTTGGTAGAAGTTCAAACAAAAACCCCCTAAATAATATAAGATGACGTTAACTCAGTACCGAAGAATTACCCAAACAAAACACACCCTTAAATGATTCAAAGGTAACAAGTTCGATGAATGATGATCAAAATACAATATAATTTCAGTGAATTATAATTCCTGTTCCATGGTAGAAGGCAAACACGCTGAATAAGAGCATCACAAGCTAGTTCTACCAATTGCAACGATGCATAGCCCTCCAAATTAATCTAGAGCTGAAATAATTATAGTCCTTCATGTCAACTAAATTTTATTCCTTCACTCAAACAAATGCAGTTAAACCTATAAGTAGCAAGATCTTTTTTTCAAAATGAATGTCATTCTCGATTTAGGTCTTCGATAAACAGCACAAAATACTTTTTTTGGAAACTTAAAAGGTCAAGTTCAGTTTCCATTGTATTCCAGTGGTCCTCTACTGAGTGTAAAAGGTGTTATTTAACTAGAAGACCTGTTTCAAATGACATGAAATAGGAAGTGATGATCCACTATAGCTATTCATTCTTCAACATTGGCATAACTCCCACTTCAAAACTTCATAAGCTACGTAAATTTCAGCGATACAAACAACCCAGATTTCAGTAATACACAAACAACTCAATATTTAAAGACAGGATCAAATTGAGTCAAACTGGGGTTAAAATCTCCCAAAAATGCCGTTAAACAGATCCAACAATTTAACATAACAAGTAAAATCCACAAGCTAGTAAAGAAACTATAGCACCCAACTGGGGGAAAGAATGTCTGAGAAAAAGGATTCAATCAAATGTTCGAACCATCCCATTATTATTGAATAATATGAAATGAAAACAAACTTAGATAGAAAGTGAATACTGATGATCTCTGTCCTTCACACACACTTAATCACCTGCAAAATATCAAAGACTTCATAAAGATAATGAATAATTAATAAAATCTTTAAACATGACTGACTGAATACAGTTTACAGAACAACTTATTAACAAATTTAAGGATAAATATTTTATATTTAGTAACCGAGAATTCAATCGACAGACATAAGTTCATCAAAGATAAACACCATACACGCTTATATTTCTCTATGATCGCCAATATATAGGGCACAGCAGAGTTGAATCTTTGAGACACATATAGTTGAAAGCATCAATGAATCCCATAGGTAAACCTACTAGTTTGAATTAGTACCTACATTCCTATTCGCATACAAAAAGTCCTGTGAATGCACAGACAAATGAGCTACCAATCCATAATTTCACTGAGACACAGAAGAAAATCATAAAACCTACTATCAACATTCATTTTGAGGACAGAAAAGACAAAGTATCATCAATCTACCATGTCAAAGTATTCCAAAATACTCTATCATGGATTTTGATCCATCATCATGGACTTCTTTTCTGGTCAACATATCCTAAAGATCTGAAAAATTAGGACTCGTGTTCATAAATACTATATAGATATCATGTCATATAAGAGGCATATATACAAATGTAAGTATAAAAGTTATTTTGAAACCAACCCTAATTAATGCTAAAAAGAGAGATAAACAAATTAATTAAACAAAGAAAATAGTAGACTTGAAGCAAAATGAAAACGAATCTAAAATGGGTAACTTAGGGCAAAAAAGGAAGAAATTACCGCTTATGCCTCTGCACGAAGGGGGACTTCTTCGCATCCTCCTCTTCGAAAAAGATAATAATAATAAAAAGTAAGAAAATCGGTTTGGGATTAACGAGATTGAGAAAGCGATTAAGTGTTTAATAATAAGAGAATATAATGAAATAATTACCAGTAAGACCAAGAGAGAACTTGGTGATGATGGCTCCGGTTATGGCGAAGCCGACCAGGAAAGGCCAGTTTCTGTTCCATTCTCTTTTGAAGAATACGGGCCATGGATCGAATTTCCTCATCTTCCTGATTCTCAAATTCTATGCAAACCTACTTCAGAAACTTTTGCTTTAGCTAAGGAGACCATATATCGTGTACATGGTTCTTAAACGGCGTATATCAAAAATTGGTTCATTATTTGATGATTTTTACAATAATATTTTTTTTTTTTTTTAAAAAAAATTTGGTTGTCTTTGGGAGAAAAGTAATTATTAATATTATGTGAGATGAATAAAGTATAATAGAATTTTGAAAATATTGAAACAAATACAATTTTGGTTTTTAGAATATAATTATTTGATGATTTTTAAAATAATATTTTGAAAAAAAAAAAGTAAAATTAGGTTATCTTTATGAGAGGGGTAATTATTAATGTTTTGTGAGATTAATAAAGTAAAATAGGATTTTAAAAATATTGAAATAAATGTATTTTTGGGTTTTTAGGATATAATAGTAGAATAGAATAGGGATATAATATTGAAGCAAATGAAGCTAGACTAATTTTTCGAATCATATATCGCGTATCGCAGCATATTATAAGATACGCCTTTTTAAAAAAATAATAATAATAAAATAATAATTTTTTTCTAAAAATTAAATAATATCATCTCTAAGATTAATTAACGAAATTTGTGGTATTATTGGCTTTAAATTATAGTATTACATAATTAAAATTAATCACAAAATTAAGAATTTATATGATTTCTTTTCAATCATTCATATCATTTCTAAGATCAATGTCAATATCTATATCTTCGCTTGTGTTATTATTATCATGCAAAATGGACAACACATCTTCCTCTTCACTTTCTCCATGCAAAATAAGTAAATTTAGGCGGGTTTTAGTGAATTAAGTTAGGTGACCTAAATCCAACCCAAAATTTTTTTTAGCATTTGACCGAAATTAATAAAGTCATATCGATATTTTTAAATATACTGACTAATACATATCCTATCATAGGATATATATCAATGTATCGAAAGATTTAGAATACATCATTTAATACGTATCATTGACGATCCATATCGAATCATATCGTATGATACGTATTGCATATTGTAGGATACTAATAACCATGATCGTGTATATAAATGGTGCGGACACCCACGCTTCTACTCTCCACGGGTGAGGATGTTGCTTACCCATTATGGGTCGCACTGGATCGGGTATTCGGGTCGGTGTAATGAGAATAAGATCCAGTGTTATTTTCTCAAATTTTATTCTAATTCAGAGGATAAAACGGATTTGATAATTGATACTGCTATTAAATTAGATATATATCTTTTAGTGGTTATTTTTTTAAAACAATAATATGAAAATGAAAAAAGCGAAAAAGTCGTTTAATAGATTAAAATGGTGACTCAAATACTCAAAATGATATGACAATTTTTCTTTAAGAAGAAGGCTGTAAAAGGGTATTAACATTTTTCAAAAACCTTTTATTTTTTTCTTTATTATTATACTTAAAAAATAAGAAGACGGCCTCTATAATTTCACATGGCAAAATGAAGAGCTTTCTTTAGTACAAAAATGACAAGTCTAAACAAATTTACATCCATACATAATTTTAATTGGATGACAAATGCAGTGACATTGATATTGATAAAGAACATGAAAAGCCATCCCAAACAAAAACTCAGATCTAAAATACAGATCTTTTACTTCCATTTGTTCATTAATGGGCAAACTACACAGTATAAAACAGCATAAATCAATTTCGAAGCTATCCCATAGGCTTTGGTCATCGTGCAACAGCTAAATTGAGCCATCCCATAAAAGAACTGAGCTGCATAATATTTCCGATCACAGCCCTGTGCTTTGCGTTACTGGTGAATAATCCTGTCAAAATTCAAGCTAATCTGCAATGAGCCGAAACGCCTTATTGACTCATATCAGATAACAATTTTTCAAGTGCTTCGGATGCAAGAGGAATGTATAAGCAATCCTGGCCATCAGAATGCCTTCTAGTCTTCACTAACTCATGATCTTTGAATTCGGTCAAATGGGAGTTAAGAGTAACCTGACTGCTCACTAGGAAGCGCTCCCGAGCAGTTGTGTATAGATTATCAAATGGCATGCCTGGAAGTAAAAGGTGAAGAGCTTATGATAAGTAAAACGGAAAAGATAAAACCAAATGGCAAATGGATACTTACCTTCTTCATCAGGATGAGACAGTTGATATTCAGCAAGAATTTTGAAGACACTTTGAGCATTCGGCGTCAAACTTTGTAAAACTATTGCAACTGTTTTGGCACTTTGGGCGTTACTGCCATGTGCAAGAATCAAAGGGAAGAACATCCCTTCAAATTTGTATGGTGCAAACGTAGGGACATGATACCAGCACCACTTGAACTGTGTGTGAACCATCTTCTTGTCCCACACTACCAAAAAAAAAAAAAAATCCCACCAAGGATGAAATTGTAAAGTCAAGGCATTAACATAAAATTCATAATGATGAATCCACAATGCTAAATGTACATTCCTCCTGCAGACAATAATATTGAAATAATTGTATTCACATTCTGAAGTTGAAGACTCAAGATTTGTTCTCCAACCTATAGACAGTAGAAAAACATACTAGCACCTTTCTGTGGCTCAGATTGACATGGTAGCATCAATCTAAAGCTCAAACATTGTTCAGGACTTACATAAGATACATTCTATATGTAGACCTAATTGAATGACTGAAGCCACCATGTCTATACCTTCTTTATCTAAATGAGATACATTAAAACAAACGTACCAAAAAAAAAAAAGGTAAAACCTTCCGTATCTTCGTTAAGCAGGGAGGAAAACACCAAGATAAAATGTTTCACCTTCTAAAAGAAACATCTTCAACCAGAAAAATAAAACAAACAATTTAAAATTTATAGACCACAAAAAGATGAAAGGAATAAAACTCAATATCGTCTAATTTCTGCAAAATTACCTACAGGACTTCAAAACAACATTTAATTAATGCAATGCAAACAGAATATTCAATCATAATAGCAGCTATCTAAGTGATTATAGATATGTAATTTAAAATGAGAAAAGTATACATACAAAGAGGTGCATTCACGTGATCAATAGAGGCGATTAAGCGAATATGGGTGCAGGAAGCAATTTGTGCAAGACACTGTTGAGTTTCAAAGTCTCTTAACCCAGGCCCATCGATGTTGTGAATGACAACACACACAAAACAATCATTCTCCCCCACCTTTGACCCATCCAAAAATGCAAGAAGATCATCCATGGATCGAGAATTAAATGGTTGTTGAGCTTTAGGTAAATTCTTGCAGGCAGTCTGTCGTTTGGATTTCAATTGATCCCACAGAACTTCAGCTAAAGTTATTACAACCTACATTTTAAAAGGTTAAGATTCGCAACTGAACATGACAATTGACATAAAGAAATACGTTTTCAGTTCATTTAGTATCTTCAGATATAGGGAATATCTATAGCAACAAGAACACAAATAAAGTCCAAGAAAATGATACTTGTTTGATGTTGACTGACTGAAGATAGCCATTGATTACAACCACAGAATATTCATTTAAAGCTGTTGAAGCAAAATCTTCCAGTAACACCTTCTTAGATCCAAATCCATACATAAGAAGGCCAAAGCCACACCTAGCACCATAAGAGATATGAATTAAGACTCGAAAACTCAGTCTTAAAACACCACAACTTGAAATTATTGCAACAAATTCACATTTTTCACATGGTCTATAACATGATTTCATTCTCTATCATTACCCAAAAAGGAAAAGAAAAAAAGAAAAAAAACATAAATGGCAACAACCATCCAAGTACATTTTCACACTTTGATGAACCCAATCATCTCTTGAACATCACATATCTTCAGCATTTAATGGAAACTATCCTATAATAATAACGCCCTACACTGAATTCACAATTAGTGGGCATGGGTACACACCCGATCAACATAATAACAAATATAAATCTATAACAACCACTGAGTTAAAAGAATTCATTAAAATAATCTCAGTTCAAAATCTCTCCCAAACACTACTCACGTATTCCAAAAAGTAAATCACAGTATTTTCACATCTTCTCATTTAAAATGACTTATTCTAACTGCATAAAGAGTATTCACATACCGTAGCTCGAAAACCCATTTAGAATACAAACTTTTGTAACTGTTAATCAGCAAAGCAATCTCTTTCTCATGCTTGGGTTCAATATCTAAAGCTGCTGCTCTTAGCTCCTACTTAGCAAAAAAGACATCACATGTTAATTAGAAAGCCAAAAATGTAATATATATACTGAAAGGAAACTGAGGCAAGAACCTGTTCATCAACAATGTCAATATCTGAAAGCTTATGAGTCGATTTCTTTCCTGAGGCGGCCAAGTCTTTTGCAAGAAAATAGTTTCTCGATAATACGAATTCTTCCTCTTCTACGTTATCGATTTCCATTATTTTTGAATTTAGAAAAAATCAGAGTGAATTTGATTGAGACTCTGAAATCTGACGAAAGAGGAGCTTGTCAAGAGTACGAAAACACACTGCAAGCCCTAAAATCTTTTCCCGCCAATTTCTTTTGGGCCGCCAACTAACCGACTATGGATTCATCTGGCATCGTTTCCCAATGGATTAATCTTTCTCGACATTGGGCCGAGCACCCGGCCCAAAAATAAATTAAAACCATCCCAAAATATACTAAAACCCAATGCTGCGTTTGTTTTACTCTATCTTATCCTAAAAGCACTGCCATGAAAAACCCAAATGTGGCCTTACAGCCTTACTCCTCCTGAAGTGAAGTAAGGTGGTGACTGGTGAGGCATTTGAGAACGTGGCACGCAGGCAGGGGATCTCGTCGGCAACGATTTCTGGTGATTTGTCGGCTAGTTCTTTACTTTATTTTAATATATAAATTTTGATTTAAAAAAAAAAATTTAACACAAACTAAACCCAAGAGGGAGAGGGCGATTATTTTCTTGCCATTAGTGCAAAGCTTTTTTTTTTTTTTTTTTTTTTTTTAATGCTGTC